GGGTTTATTATTTTTAATGAGTTCAATTTAATTTCTTGTATGTTAAATACTGATAGCTATAACTCACAAAAAGCTCTTCAGACTCATCAATAATTTTTCAATGTGTGAAGTAATCCAGAAGTCAAAAGTCTGAAAATCACTGGTGTAAATAAGTTTCATATATGGAAAATTCATGTATGTGGAATCTCAGTCTTCAAATATATAGGATAAATAACACTATAGTGTAAAGGCAGCCTTCAATTTATACATATATTGTGTTACTCAAGTTTGTGAGATTAATTGCCTAGCATTTTCTCAGCAGTATTACCTTCCAAGATCATCACAAAGTATGCCTTTAACCTATTACTACGGTAGCAAACTGTCAAAGCACCTGTGCAGTGTACTACACATACTATTATATTTCTATTAGTTGGGTGGTGGAGGGTTAGTTGGGTGGGATGAAAGGGTTGAATGCCTACTAAAAAGCCAGGTTGTATAGGTAATTTCCATATATTATTTCTTATGGATGACTGTCAAGCAGTAACTGTCATCCCCATGACTAGGACCAATGTCACCCAACTAGCACTGCAAGTGAAGGAGAAGAGTTATAAACCCAGGTCCAACTACAAAACCTCACTTTGCTGTAATGGAAACAAGCTCCCAATAAGATATGGCGCAGGCAGATGATTACAGAATACTCAGGAGAGAACAGTAAGTAGTTACAAGTGTGAGCAAGGCTAGGAATGAGAAATGGAGATTGAGGGAGTAAGGGGATGAAGCCAAAAAGCAGGCTCAAGGTCAAGGATAGGGGGGAGGCAGTGAGAGTGAAAAGACAGGTGTGTAAGACAACAGCTAATGGAGCAAAAATTAGACAACTATTGTGGAAGTGGTGGCAGGAGGGACTTCTCTTACTGAAATCCCTTAATGCCAGTGCCACATGCCACCACCACCAACCACATTGTCAAGCCTTCACCATGGCCAACCCCAGTTTGGAAGATGAGGAGAATGCAGGATGAGTTCTGCCTTGCCCTCCTACTGCCTCTTGCTACTGGCTCCTCCCTAACACTGCCTTCCATGAGCCTGGTGCAGAACAATAATCAGGAATCAGAGCTTTGGGGAGAAGGCAAGGATGACAAAATACATTCCTCCCCTGTCATATGGTGAAAATCTTGGTCTGCTCAATCCTGTCAGAGGGGTAGGCTGTCACGGTGGCGGCTGACCAGCAGAATGCTATCTAAAAGATGGGCACGCCCAAAACAGCCAGTTACATGCCTAACTGAAAACACTACCTTTAAACTTAAAAATAATTTATTACAAATTTCACTATTTTATCCTGTTTAGAATTTTATACTCATACTGTAACTGGCCTAGAAATTTCCTTTTCCTGGGTATTACATTTTTCTATAATTTAAAATGAATAGCCAGCTAGCTGGTTACCTGGGGGGATAAAAGAAAATCTGTAGCCAGTTAAAGCTCTAAAGATCATACAAACTTCACAAAGGTATAAAAAACTGTAAGTGGCTTTTTTTAGCTACTTACAAATCTGAAAGTGTATCTATTTAAACATATGTTTAAGAAGCCTAAGTGTATTTTCCTTCTATTATTTAGAAAATGTTGCCTGCTACCCTCAGTTACCCACCCCCTCACAACTTTTTCATCATTTTGGAAAAAAAAGCTTTCATTGCCTTTTAACCGTGACAGATCAAGTAACATATTTCTTAATGAACAAGACTACTTTATCAAGAAAAAAAGCCTTATCAAAGCTTTGTAGACACTATTGATAGTGCCTTTCCAGTAAAGAAATAGATTTAATTCATTTTTGTACCTATTTTTCTTTCAAAGTAGCATATTCCTTCACTTCTGAATCACTTACCAAATCAACAGCATTCAGCAAGAAACTGATACTCTAACTGCTGAGTTGCTTTAGATATTCTACTCAAAGACTACAATGTATGTTAGTAAATGTGTTTAGATTTTTGTACCATCTGTGGGTTCCTCTCACAACTGAACCCCAAAACAGTGGGTTTTCTTCTCCCTATCCTCCCTCAAATCCTCTCTGCCATAGAGACTAAAACAGAAGGGTTACACTATTGAAGGTCTTGCTTTTTTAGAGGAAGACTGTTGAGTGGATTTTAAATTATAATAGACTAATTAAGGTGTAGTGAAAAATCAATCACACCAATAAATATGTTCAGAAGAAAAGGGGGAGAAGAAAATGATCATCCTAATCATTTTAAACTTAAAAAGTTGGAAATAAAGTACTTGTAAACTTGTTTTCAAGTACACAAAGTAACAGACTACCAAGTCTAATTTCTAAAAGCAGATTCATCCCTCAAACATCCTTCAAAGTTAGTAAAAGAAACAAAACACTTAATTTCCATTCATATTAGAAAAAAAGTATCACTTCCAATAGGATTGCTTCAATAACAAACAAAAAAAATTTAAATGTTTATTGAGTTTCAGTGGGGGTGGGGGGAGAAACATCAATGTGAGAGAGAAACATCAATGGGTTGCCTCCAAACCCACCCCCAACCTTTTGGTGTATGGGACTATGCTCCAAGTAACTGAGCCACTGGGTCAGAGCAATAACAGACTTTCTTGAGGGTACAAATTTGGAAAATTGATTGGTTATAAATACAATGAATCAATTGGTACAAAAGTCTTTTAAGTGTACCAAATGCCATTAAATCTTAGATGCTAGTGATTATAAGATGCAACATATTTCATGTAACAGTAGTGAGGGGGAAAAAAAGCTGTCAGGTTATAGCATAATGCTTACTGATGGCACCGTCTTCAAGATTAAAATGGGAACTTTTAAAATCAAGGAAATACTAGAATCTTAAACATATTATTCATATATGTTAGACGGTTAGCAGGAAAATTATCTACAGACAAAATATCATCTTGAACACTAGGAAAGTTATTTATGCCTAGTATATTACAATAAAGTTAGTGCTCCAACACAATCCCTAATATGTTTGAACTGTCAGAAAGTTAAATCAACTATCTATCTATCTATATAGAAAGTCATCCCTCCTCTCAAATTGGTCTTGAGATTAAAAGCCAATATTCAGTGATGAAAACAACTGTAAAGGACAACAGTTCACTCAGAAACTGCTGGTCTTTTAGCCTAAGTTCACTGCATACTTAGACAAAAGGTGCTGTGTAGTGATACATTCCTTCCCACCTGCTACACTAACAAAAACTGGCTCTACTAGACAACAACCATATTTGAGAAATGTTAAGTAAAATAAAATAGAAATGATATACTTAAAACCAAAAAAGGGGCAAAAGTATTTGTTTACAATAAATTTACATTTTTTAAAAAGTTGAAAACTAACATGGAATCAATACCTTGGGTTTTTCTTTTCCCCTCCAAGAAGAAATTGAAGCAGATTCAAGATTGTGTGTCAGCGCTACAGCAAGCTTTGTCATATCTGACTGTACACAAGATATTACTAAGTCTTATCCACACTGAAGGACTTCATATAATTCATGCTAAGTATTTTAAACAATAAAACATTTACATGCATTTTGTATCCAAGTGATTTTTAAAAATTACTTCAACTTCTCATGAGAGTCTAGCAACAAAACCTTCTTTGCGATTGCTGACCTCTAAATTTAGGAAAACACTCAATTATAAGATGCTTTTCTTCCAAATCTTTCAGAATCTTGCTAGAGACACCTCAATGAACCAGAAAACAGCTTGCCAGTATCTTCAGCTAACTACACCATGTTTTGACACAACTTTTAGGAGTAAAAAAAAAAATGCTTATCAGAAAACAAGTTGATTTCAGGACTCTAAAGTTCTGGTTCATTTATTCAGCAAAATCCAAGGGCCCAGAACAAGTCTCCAACCAATTAGTCCTACCTGGCAGGTCATCAAGCTGGTTGAGGTGGCCAGGCCAGTCTTCCCAAGTTTGCTGAAATCTCCAGAGGCAGTTAAAGCAACATTGGGAGGCCTTTACGTGATTTAGGGGCTTTTCTCTAAAATTCTCTTCCCTCTCTATCAGATCTCTTCCCCACCCCCCACCTCTATCTACTCTTTTAGCTTAGGGCGGACGACCCTTAACCAAAATCCTAAGAAATTCTAAGACTTTATTACGTGAAAAGCAAGTTCTCTAGAAAACAGAAACACCCACTCCCACGTTTTTTTTTTTTAATATTATCTACGGCACAACAGCCCAAACAAACATGACAAATCATCAATGATGAGGAAGGCACTTCAACATCTAAAATCCCAACATATGTAGTATTTTCTATTTACTACAACTGAAAAGTACAGATTGGGGCAAAAGTAGATTTACAGTTGTTCCTATGGAAAATAACACATTAAAAAATAATATAATACAGAATAAATTCCGAGTTTCCCATACTCACGACTATACACCTACTTTTGTCCCACCCTGTATATTAACATATTTTGGGAAAAGTTTTGTTCAATTCTTGAACATGAAGGGCTTCTTACTTTTATTCATTGAAATTAACCAGAACCCGAGCATGTTACTTAGTATCAAGACTTTGCTTGGCTTTTAATTAAAAATTTTTCTCCAAGTTAAATTAGAATTTGTATTCTTTTCAGGAACTAGTTTCTACAGTACCCTCCACTATGCCAGAATGCAGACTGACTGAAAACAAATGACCCATTTTAGAAGGAAAAAAACTAAACTTCGACTCCCTCTTAATTTACTGTCTTATGTGTTTACGTACATATCTACAAGAGGAGAAGGTGGAGCGGCTATTCGTGCACGAGGCCAGGTAGTGGGCATTGAGTAAATGCCTATCAACACATTAGTCCTCTGATAACAAGTTGGGCCATTTCAAAACACTGGCTCCACCCCTCCAGGGTCAGCTGCCAGTTCCCGATCCAGACAGCCTTGGCCTTGCTGTGGTGAAACCTTGTCGCTCAAGGAGACCCAAGATGAGGGAAAGGGAGCCACTCGACCCCATCCCGCAGGGCAGAACACTCCTCTCTAGGCTGCGGGTCCGAAGACCTAGCCCACCCGATCCTGGTAACCTACCTCTTCCGCCCCCAGATCTGAGGGGGCAAGAGCCCCCGCCCAACCCCGCAGACAGCCGGGCGTCGGGACACAGGGGACGCCTGCGCAGAAGAACCCGCCTCCCATCCTCCTGGCCCCTCCGCTCCGTAGGGTAACAATACCCCTTCAGAAAGACAGGCAGGATAGATGAGGGGCACCAGTACGCGTCTGCGCGCTCCCCAGTTGCCCTGTCGCGACACTATCTGGGCCAGTAGCCCAGCTCCCCTGGTGCTCAAGTCTGCACGGGAGCGCGCCCGCGCGCGCCACCACCACTCGCGCTGACAGGGTCTTCTCACCTGAGCCGGGCTCCGCCCCCCTTCCCGCAGGAGAAGGCAGTGACCCTTCTCCGATCCGACTCGACAGCGTCGGAGGAGGCGGGAACGTCCAGGCTGGCGGCTCCGTGATGGGATTTCCTCCCCCTTCCGCCCACCCTCCCCGCCCACCCCGCCTCTAGTCCCCCAGCTCCTTCGGCCGTTCGCCGCGGTATTCTGAGAAGACCGCGGCGGCGGCCGACAGTAAACGGAAGTGACGCAATGTGATAACGCCTACACCACCTCCTCCCCTAAGGCCGAACTGTAACCAATCAGCAAGGGAGGGAGCAGGGCGGGGAAGGAGAGCAGCCAGCCAGCGCACAGAATCCGGAAGAATTTACTAAGCCCCGGAACACTGACCAATCCACGGTCCCAGGAGTCTCTGTGTTTACTACGGACCTAAACCGTGAGCGCTGTGACCAATCACCGTGTTTCTTACAACACGTAAAACTGACATCAAACTCCTTTAAGGCGGAATTCATCACTAAGCAGCTCTAGGTTTGGGCTATAGAAAAGCTAATGTGTGTCACAGCCAATCAAGACCCGTTGTGATTGAGGGAAGAGGGTTAGCTGCCTAATTCCACTAATCACAATCACGACTGCCGGGGGGCGGGCCCTCAGGGTAGTGCGTTGCACCATTCGCCTTACCTGAACGGTTTTCCCACTCTCCCGCGCCGGATCTTTAGTGACCCCGGCTTCCTGGCGGAAGAGAGTGCACTTTGACGAACCCTCACACGCACCGCCTTAGAGGTTGAATTCTCACTTCGTAGACTTTGGAAAAAGTAAAATTCAAAAAAAAGCTGTTTAGGTTAAATTAGCCGAAATCCAGGCTAAAAACGTTGATCCAACGCTGACAGCACTTGGGTCCGACAGCGCCCCAAGTCCAGTCCATGGAGTGGCTTCAAGGATCGCTTCTCGCAGCTCTGGCGCCTGAGGAGAATGGCTGTCGGGTCCCGGCTTCCGACTCGGACATTGCTCCATCTTTCCTGCCGCAGGTCACAGGAGTCCAGTCTCTCAAACCAACTTCCCCCCAAAACAAAATTGGACATGTGCAACGGTCGCGGACTTCTGTGGGAAGCTGTGAGAATGGAGCAAGCTTTGGGGCGGCTCTCGGGATCCCTGGTGCGCTCTCCGATGGAGAGCTCGAACCCTGAAGGGAGACTGGCCAGTGTGGCCTGCGAAGGCGCCGGGCACTGGTGCACGGGGTGCGGGGAGTGGAGGTGAGGGAGCTGTTCGCGAGCTGTTCGGGAGCTCTCCGGGAGCTCTCGGAAACAAAGGCAGGCTGGGGAACGCCTCTGGTTTCTTTTGAGAGAGAGAGAGGGAAAGGGTAGACTTTTTAAAAAGGAACTTTCTGCTGCCTCAGAACTTAAACATTACAGCTGATGCATCTCTTCAGACGTTACAGAGTGGAAATAATGCCTTTGGGGTTTCTTTCTTTAAAGACTCAATGAAATCTGATGATAAATTCTGGCAGATTCCATGATATTTTATAGCCCTTAAAGATATTTTATTGCCAGATTGGGCAATGAAATAAAAAGATAAAGAATGCTGAGAATAAGCCGGGTGGTGTGAGAGGCTTATTTCACATGTGACCCTCACAAAAATGTTGTGAGCTAGACATTATCTCAAATTTACAACCTGGCAAAAGTTTAAAAGATTTGTATATTTACTACTTAAGAATACTATAGGTCCCCTCCTATATTGTTGATAGGAGTACCATTAACACTGCCTTTGAAGATAACTTGGTATAGTACCTATCAAAATTTTAAATACACATTCATCCTCTCAACTGGCGATTCCTTTTTAGAAATGTATTGTGAAATACACAAATTAACCTAGACTAAATACACAGATTTGGGGAAATATATAGGAGGTTGTTGATCACAGTTTTGTTAGTAGAAGGGAAAAAAAGCTGATTATGCATCTACAGAGGATTACAAATAAAGATATATGCATTTTATGGCTCCTTCATCACTAATGACCAAGTAGGATTTGTCCTTGGAATGCAAAAATAGTTCAATATATAAAAAAATTGATCAACATAATATGCCACAAAAGAAGAATGAAAGGGGAAAAATGATCATCTCAATTTATGCAGACAGCATTTGACAAAATTCAACATCCTTTCATAAAAAAATCCCAACAGGTTTGGTGGCGGTCACCCAGCAGATCAGACATCTCTCCTTCCCACGCCTCCCTCCGCTTCCTCAGCAACCGTGTCTATAAACCGGATATGCCCAAGATAGAGAAATTTGGTAAGTCGAAATTGAAGACGACAGAAACGCAAGAAAAAAATCTGCTGCCTTCCAAAGAAACGACTGAACAGGAGAAGCAAGCAGGCGAATCGTAATGAGGCCCGCACCGCCAATATGCACTGTATATTATACAAGCATTGCCTTATTATATTACTTTTAGCTGTTTAATTTTGTAAGATGCAAAGAGGTTGGATCAGTTTAAATGGCTGTGCTGCCCCTTTTCACATCAGAACTATTCACAATGAAGACCGCACCTGCCTCTCCCATCTGCCTCTCTGGCTGGCAGTGAAGGAAAACAGCTTGCATGTTGGTGAAGGAAGAAGCTGGGTGGGATGACAGTGAAATCTAGAGTAAAAACCAAGCTGGTCCAGGGTATCCTGCAGGCTGTAAAATGCAATTTAATCAGAGTGCCTTTTTTATTGTTGTTAAAAATGATTTTAATTATTGGAATGTACAATTTTTTAAAATATGCAAATAAAAAATTTTAAAACCTGAAAAGAAAAAAACAACAAAGAAGGACTAGAAGTAAACTACCTCAACATAATAAAAACTATATAAGAAAACCCACAGCAAGTAAATCAGGAAAAAGACAATGATGCCCACATTTACAACTTATATTCAACATAATATTAGAATTTCTAGCTAGGGCAATTGAACAAGAAAAAGAATAAAAGGCATCAAAATTGGAAAGAAACCGATAATATCTCTGTTTGCACATGATATAATCTTATATTTAGGAAACTCTGCCTCTGACTGGTATGGCCCAGTAGGTTGGGTGTCATCTCACAAACCAAAAAGTCACAGGTTCAATCCCCAATCAGGGCACATGCCTGGGTTGAGGGCCAGGAGCCAGGTTGAGGGGTATGCGAGAGGCAACTGTTCTGTTTCCTTCAGACATCGATGTTTCCCTTGGTGTTTCTTCTCCCTTTCATTCTCCCTCCCTTCCCCTCTCTCTAAAAATAAATAAATACATAAATAAAATCTAAATAAGAAAAAAACCCTAAATATTCCACAAAAATCCATTAGAGCTAATAAAATTCAGCAAAGTACCAAGATACAAAGTCAACACACTGAACTCAGTTGCATTTCTATATGCTTACAATGAACAATCTCAAGGGGAAGTTATGAAAACAACTATTAAAGCCTCTAAAATAATAAAATACTTAGGAATTAAACAAGGAAGTGAAAGACATATGATAAAAACAACAAAACATTACTGAAAGAAATTAAGAAATAAATGGAAACACATCCCATGTTCATAGATTGAAAGACAGTATTGTTGAGATGTCAATATTACACAAAATAATGTACATATTCAATGCAATTGCTATAAAAAATATTTTTTGTCAAAATTGGAAAATCCATCCAAAAATTTACATGGAATTTCAAGGGACCCCAATTAGCCAAAACTGTCTTGAAAAAGATCAAAATTGGGTCCCAGGTTCCCACATGCAGCTTCCAGGGTGAATGCAGGCTGGGGACCTGCAGCAGTGCAGGCCAAACAAGCACCAGCGGTGGGGAGCTAACAGCTTCTTCCCCACCCCTCCCATGATGTCCAAGGTGGAAGAGGCCAAACAGCTGGAAAGCAGAGGAGAGGTGGATATTTGCATGAGGAATAACCAGGTGCTGGGAATTGAAAGTGGTTCAAAAGTTGTCCATACTGTGCAATGTATAGCTGAAAGAGTGAAATGAGAACATGAACCTCTGTAATCCCACTTCCTTCAAAGCCTGCCAGCTCATCCTGCAGTATAGTTTAACTCTCAGTGACCTGGACCACACCCAGAGGTTGACTTTACTATCTATCATAATGATGAAGTAGATGCTGATTTCAATCTTATCACAGGCAGAAGAGGCTATCTGACCCAGGAAAGACCATAGCGGGCTATGCCAGTTGCCTCATCTTGATCATCAATTTCAGGAGAAGTTTCAAAGAACCTTGGGGATCAGTGGTACAAAAGAATCCCCATGGAGTTTATCCCAGAGGGCTATGTCTCAGGGAGTTGAGCTGTGACTCAGAAGTTGGTGGCATGATTGAACTTTGAATGAACATCAACACAGACAGTGCCCATGATGACAGATAATGGGAATTCTATCCTGGACTGGAAGTTTGGCTGGTTGCACAAATGGAGTGAACAACACAGCTATCAAAATGATCCGAGGTGTGGTGAATATAGGCCTGTTCATCAGCAGTCTGAGAGAGCCTACTCCAGGATACAAGATGACTCGGTGAATATGAGGGTGAAAACTTTCTATTGATACTACAGGAGTGAAGTGTGTTCACCTTGAGTCCTCAGTCCACAGCCAAGGTGGACATGCCTCTCCAGGAGTCTTTGCCTTAATGGGCCTGTGCCTTAAGAGGCAGGGTGGATAGCTGGCAGGGTGGGGGTTGGGGAGTTAAACCCAGTCTTGTGAAGTATTGTTATTAAATGTCTTCTATTAAAAAGAGAAATATAAACATATATATTTTTACTATTAAAAAGAAAAAGAACAAAGCTGGAGGAGTCACATTCCCTAATTTCAAAATTTACTATGAAATCACTGTAATCAAAACAATGTGGTGCTGGCATAAAGACGAACATAGACCAATGAAATGGAATAGAGAGCCCAGAAGTAAACTGGCACATAATGAGACCAAGTGATTTTTGACAGGGGTGCCAAAACCATTCAATGGGGAAAGGACAGTCTTTTCAACAAATAATAAAATTGAACCCTTAGTTAACATAATTTTTAAAAAATTAACTCAAAATGGGTCAAAGACCAAAAAGTAAGACCTAAAAATATAAAACTTTTAGAAGATAACATAAGATAAAAACTTCATGACATTGGATATGGGAATGATTTCTTCAATATGACACAAAAGACACAGACAAGAAAAGAAAAAATAGACAAATTGAACTTCATGGAGTCTTTGTTATATACCAAAAGAACAAAAAGGTAAACCACAAAATGGGAGAAAATACTTGCAAATCATATATCTCATAAAGGATTAGCATGCAGAAGATTCAGAGAACTAAAACTCCCCCCAAAAATAAAAAATGTAACCCAAAAGTTGTGAAAGAACTTGAGTAGGAATTTCTCAAAGAAGATACACAAATGGTCAATAAGCACATGAAAAGATGCTCAACATCTCTGGTCACTAGCAAAATACAAATCAAAACTACAATGAGATATCTCCTCACACTCATCAGGACAGCTACTATAAAAAAAAAAAGTAAATGTTGGCAAGGATGTAGAGAAACTGGAAGCTTGTGCACTGTTGATAGGAATGTAAAACGGTGCAGGCACTATGGAAAACAGTAATGGCAGTTCCTCAAAAAATTAAAAATAGAATTACCATATGATTCAGCAACTCCACTTCTGGGTATATACCCCAAAGAATTGAAAGCAGTGTTTCAAAGAGATATTTATGCACCTGTATTCATATTAGCATTATTCATGGTAGCTAGAACATGCAAGCAAACCAAATGTTTATCAATGGATGAATGGATAAGCAAAATGTGGTACATAAATACAATGGAATATTGTTCAGCCTTAGAAAGGAAGAAAATTCTGACATGTATTATAACATGGGTGAAACTTGAAGACATTATGTTAAGTGAAATAAGCCAGTTACAAAAAGACAAATACTGTATGAGTTTATTTATATGAGGTAATTAGAGTAGTCAAAAACATTTTATTTAGGTTTTAGTAGTCAAAATCAAGAGACAGAAAGTAAAATGGTGGTTGCTAGAGATTTGAGTGAGATGAGAATGGATTATTGTTTAATAGGTATAGAGTTTCTGTTTTATATATGAAAAGAGCTATGGAGATGGATGGTATGATGGTTGCACATTATGAATGTATCTAATATCACTGACTGTACACATCAATTGTTAAGATGGTAAATTTCATGTTATATCTATGTGTTTTACCATAACAAAAAAACATGTGGTATTGGCATATGAATAGACAACCCAGTGGATCAAAACAGAGGGTCCATAATAGACCTAAATATATAAGAGAATTTAATGTATGAAAAAGTTGGGAGGGGGGGCTCCCAGTCAAGGTGGAAGTGTAGGTAAACACACTTCACCTCCTCACACACTACAGAAAATATTACAACCAGTCTACAAAACAAATATCATCCAGAGCCTTCAGAAAATTGAGCTGTATGGAAGTCTGACAACCAAGGATTTAAAGAAGCCACATTCATCCAGATGAGTAGGAGGGGGCAGAGATGTGGACAGAGATGGATATCCAGGAGTGGTTCCAGGAGGCAGCAGAACGGGGCAGTCCCACCTTCATGTGTGGTGGGTAAAAATTAGGAGGGATACCTCGGGAGCAACGGTCCCCAGCCCCAAACCAGACCACCCAGCAGCCCAGGGTTCCAGTGCCAGGAAAATAAATCCCCATAACTTCTGGCTGTAAAAACCAGTGGGGGTTGGGGCTTTGGAAGAAAATGCCAGATTATCAGGAGACTCCTCTTAAAAGACCCGCACAGATTTAGGACTTAGGTAGACCCACCCACCACCCTCTCCTTGGGATTCAGCACCAGGGCAACTGCTAGAAGGGCACACAGAGAGAAAGTGAGGTGACTGAAAACGGGGCGAATGCCAGGAGACTGCTTCTTCCTGGGAAAACCTCTAAAAGCCATGGAGCAGCATTATCCCTTCTCTCAGCCCTCCCCCTCACACAAAGCAATAAAATGGGTTGGCCCTCCCTGGAGATCACCTAAGGCTTTGCCCCACACAACTTACAGGTCCACTTTTCTATAATAGGCCATGCTACTAAGACAGGGAGTCAAAGCAGCTAAAATGGGGAGGTTGCCAAATTGAGGAGACAAAGACATATGACCCAAATGAAAGAACAGAACAAAACTCCAGAAAAAGAACTAAACAAAATGGATATAACCAACCTATCACATGCAGAGTTCAAAACACTAGTAATCAGGATGTTCACAGAAATGGTTGAGTTGGTTGCAAAATGGAGGAAAAAGTGAAGGCTATGCAAAGTGAAATAAAGAAAAATATACAGAGAACCAACAGTGAAAGAAGGAAATTGCAACTCAAGTCAATGATTTGGAACAGAAGGAAGAAATAAACATTTAACCAGACCAGAATGTAGGAACAAGAATTGAAAAAAAATGAGGAGAGGCATAAGAACCTCTAGGACAACTTCAAATACTTGAACATCTGAATTATAGGGATGCCAGAAGGAGAAGAGGAAGAGAAAGAAATTGTAAACTTATTGGAAAAAACAATGAAGGAGAATTTCCCCAATTTGGTAAAGGAAATAGACTTCCAGGAAGTCCAGGAGGCTCAGAGAGTCCGAGAGAAGTTGGACTCAAGGAAGCACACACCAAGGCGCATCATAATTACATTACCCAAGATTGAGGATAAGGAGAGAATCTTAAAAGCAGCAAGAGAAAAGGAGACAGTTACCTACAAAGGAGTTCCCATAAGATTATCAGCTGATTTCTCAAAAGAAACCTTGCAGGCAAGAAGGGGCTGGCAAGAAGTATTCAAAGTCCTGAAAGGCAAGGACCTACATCCAGAGTACTCTATCCAGCAAAGCTATCATTTAGAATGGAAGGGCAGATGAAATGCTTTTCAGACAAGGTAAAGCTAAAGGAGTTCATCATCACCAAGCCCTTATATGAAATGTTAAAGGGACTTATGTAACAAAAAGAATATAAAAATTATGAAAATTAAAATAGAAACAAATTTACAGCTATCAACAACTGAATTTTTTTAAAAAAACAAGCCAATCAAACAACCAGTACAGGAACAGAATCATAGGTATAGACATCACTTAGAGAGTTACCAGCTGGGAGGGAGAAAAGAAAAAAGAGGGGAAAAGGTACAGGGATTAAGAAGCATAAACCAGCAGGTACAAAATAATCAGGGGGATGTTAAGAATAGTATGGGAAATGTGAAGCCGAAGAACTTATGTGCACAACCCGTGGATATGAACTAAGGGTGGGGGATTGCTGGAGGGAATGAGGGTACCAGGTGGAGGGGGGCAAAGGAGGAAAAATTGGGACAACTGTAATAGCAAAATCAATAAAATATATTAAAAGGAAAAAGTTGCTTTTTCAAAGCAATGGTATATATATAGAGAGAGAGATTAATTTTTGAGATTGTGAAACTGAGAAGTATTTTTAAAAATATATTTGGTACCTATGACTTCTTACCAAAAATTTATTATTAAGTGAATCAAATATTAAAATATTAAAAAAAACCAAACTATAAAAGAAGAAAACATAGAACCTGCTGTCCATAGAAATGTGTTTTAAATATAAAGACACAAATAGGGTAAGAATAAAAGAGATAGAAAGATATACCATGCAAATGCCAATCATAAGAAAGCCAGAGTGACTATATTAAGATCAGGTAAGTGGACTTCAGTACAAGGTATGAGAGATTAAAAACAATTCTAGTGATAAAAGGGTTAATTTTTCAAGAAGAGATAATAAGCTTTAATTAGTATAATCCTAGCAACAACGGTTCAAAACAAAGATTTACATAAAGACAATGACACTGACAGAACTGAGAAATCCTAAAGACTTAATAGTGTCCACCCTTGAGTGTGCTCTTTTCCATTTTTGTGTTCCTCCTGGGAAGTTAATTTCTGTGGGCAAGGATCATGTATTTTCACTCTTATATCATTCATATATATATATATATATTTTTTTTTTGCATTCTTTGTTGTTTTTATTTTATGAAAAAGGTACTTTCAAATCTCCATTAAATTTAGGTGAATACAAAGTCTTAGTGAAGGAAGCCTTGTGGCCTCATTTACAAGAACATGGCTATGCTCCTCTGGCCTTAAAATTTCAGGAAGGGCACTTCAAATGGCTTTGTGTTTTTGCATGCTTCAGTGCCAGAGCATATGAATATACCCTAGAATCCACTGCCAGGTGTTCTTCAGTTACCAGAGCTTCAAGTCTCTTCATCAGGTCATTCTTTGGTAAGGAAATTACTTCCGCAAATTCTCCGTCTCCTGGCTTTGGTTTAGGTCTTACATTTTCAGCCTCATCTCCATTAATAGTTACTGCCACGATGTGTGTGCTACAGTTTGACACACTTGGATCCATACAGACAGCTGGCAAACATTCAGCAACATCACCTGTATAGCCAGTTTCTTCCTCCAGCTCTTGAAGAGCAGATGCTTCTGGGCTTTCGTTATCATCTATGAGACCTGCAGGGAATTCTAGGGAGTAACCTCCCATGGGTGGTTGGAACTGTTTCACCAGAACAATACATTCATAATAAAGAGTTCTTTGCAGCACTGGGATAATTGTTACACCATCAGCCGACTGACTGTCCTTTCCTCCTTGTATGTTTCACAGTTTCCCAAGTTCTTGTTTTACCGGTAGGATCCATGTAAGTTGTTTTTTTCAAACTTGACCCATTTTCCTTTTGATATTAACTCCTCTGAAATAATACAGTTTGGTTTTTTGAGAAGAACCTGCTGGTTCTTGGTTTTTCATTTTCAAACTACTTAGTCTTTCCAGTCCTTAGGCAAGAAGTTCACATTACTCCAAGGTGTGGGGTGAAGGAAAGGGTACTCCTTTGGGAAAGGGGATGATAGAAGAAAGCGCAAGTCCAACGCTGCAGTCTCCAGAGATGCCGGCGCTACTCTCATTCTTATATTCAAGTGCCTTGGATAATGTTAGAAGACAGAAAAAGGATTTTAAAAGATCTAAAAATTTTTGTAGTGAAATACGATGGTGTGTATTAAGTGTTTAAAAATGTTCATGTTCTTTGACTCATTAATTCATATCCTAGACTTGCAGTTGGAGGAATCCATTTTTAAAAAGCAGACAAATTTTTATGCTTAAAAAATTCACTGCAATGTTGCCTTTAACAGTGAAAAAATTGGGCATAGGCTAAATGATCAACTAAAAGATTAGATGTATAAATCTGTGACAACATTCGACAGGCTATCATGCGAGTTTTTAGAAACTGCTTACAAGATGATGTTAACTTTTTTAGAAAGAGGATACAAAGTTGAATACAATAACATATCAATTATATACACACAGATATGCACAGAGACAAATCTGGAAAGAAATAAAACAGAATGTTAACAATGTTTGCCTTTAGATGGGGAAGGGATCATGGGTTACTATAATTACATTCTTTATATCAAAATTGTATTGGTTTGATAATTTTAAAAAATCTAATAAATGTTGAGAAAAATTAAAATATCTGAATAAGCTAAATGTAAAACGGTTAAATTTAACCGGTCTTCATATAGAGCTCTGAATGTTTGCTTTTTAAAAAGTGCAAAGATGATGTGACTTAGCAGAGTCAAAGTCAAGAATTTCTGTTTATTAGCCTCAACTAAGTTAACTGAACAGTGGAGGTGCTAAGGATAAAAGCACATGTTGGTTTTATTAGGAGAGGCATGGTAAGTAGCACAAGGGAGGTGACGGCTCTCCTGGAGTCTTGATTCATGTGGGACCCCATAGTTTGAAAAGTCTCCAGATACATTGGTGTGTATCCAGCAGTGGTGACTCGGATGAGGACAGACCTAGAGACTCTGGTGTGTGAAATAGGTGAGGGGCTGAAAAGAGTTGCTGAGGAGAAGAGCAGATAAGTGAAAGCATGATCAGAGTAGTCAGACATTTGAAGGGCTCAGGGCATAGGAGTTGGTCGTGTTCTGTGTGGCTCTGGAGAGCAGAACGGGAACCACAGGAGGAAGCTATAGAAGGCAAATTTACCTCTACATAAGGAAAAACCTGACTAAGGTGAAAAATCTGGCTTGTAAGAAATGTCGTCCATGTCTATAGGCATGCAAGTAGAATTTGCATCAAAAAAATGAAGGTAGAGAAAAGGAAACACAGAAGGGAGAATGAGACAAACACAGAAAAAGAGAAAGGAATAAAAAGCAGAGTCAGAGGAAGAAGCAAAGAAGAGAAAAGGTGAGGCAGAAGAAGAAACATTTTTGAGAGTACCTCATTAGCAATATCTTGAAATGCCAGCAGATGGAGATATTACCCCAGGAAAGGAAGACTCTGCTCCCCTCTCCCCTGCTCCCATTTCTTATTTTCAAAATGTGTCAGATTTTCCTCTTCTTAAAAAAAAAATGATGCTAGGAGAAAACTCTAGAAGTCTCTTCCAAACTAAATTTATAAGCAAACATTTATGGTAAATTCTGCCTGTGACTACACTGATTTTAATTTAGAAGACGTCACTATCACTTTTGCATTTTGGTCACTGAGTGAGTAGGGCTCCATCTTGCCCCATCCCACTTAAATATATACACACACACACACACACATACACACACACACACACACACATATATATATATATGGTGTATATGTGTTTTGAGTTAAGTAACTAAACAACATAGGGGTATACTACGGTCCCCTTCTCTGCTATTAACACTTTCCCCAGATAGAATCTCTGTCACTTTGAATTCTTGCCTGGGTAATTCTGGGAGTCCTTTCTTTTGTTCTATGTGTGCTACTCTCACTCTCCCACCCAGCAATAAAGCAACTAATTCTGAGGACTTTCACAGACTTTGTCCGACTGGCAAAGTTGTACCTTTAAAGGGAAAGTCTTGTACAAGAGGGCTTTCCAACTTTGACGTGCATACAAATCACCTAAGGATCTTGTTAAAGTGCAGATTCTGATTTGGAAGATTTTATTGGGCTGGAGATTCTGCACTGCTTTCAAGTTCCCAGATGATGCTGATGCTCCTGGTCTGAGGACCACACTTTGGGTAGCAAGGTCATACAATATGTTCCTCTATCAGGAGGTACCAGGACACTTCTCTCAAGAATTACAATTGAATCCTTGCAGGGACTGCTGTTTTCTTTTCCATTCCTTAACTTTGACTTAACTGTCCATGTTTTCATTGAACCAATCAACATATACAGAGAATCTACTATGTGCACACCCAATTCCAGTTCATTTTAGCCAATATTATTAAGCATCTTTGGGTTCTAGTCCCTATGCTAGGCCCCTAGGATTAATGGTGATTCAGAAACCAGCTTGATGGGGTTCCCACTGGCCTAATTTGGGAAAATTTAAACATAAAAATAAGTAATAATAGTAGCATATTCTAATTTATTGAATAAAGTCGGAATCCACATATCCATATTGAAAGAAATAAATAAATGAATTAATTAGAAGTGTGATGAAGAGTATATTTACTTAGTCTCTAAGTACCTGCCCACAAAATACTTATTACAAGGGGAAAAGAATGGACGTCTGGCCAAGATGGAGGCATAGGTAGATATACTTTGCTTCCTTACACAACCAAGAGAAGGACAACAAATTTAAAAACAGAAAATGACCAGAACTGCCAGAAAATCGAACTGTATGGAAATCCAACAACCAAGGAGTTGAAGAAGAAACACCTATCCAGACTGATAGAAGGGGTGGAGATGGGCAGCCGGGGGCTGAGAGGATGCGCGGCCAGGTGGCGGCTGGAGGACCAGGCGGTTCCACATTCACATGTGGGTAAACCAGGAGGAACAGCTGGGGAGTGAGACAGACTGTGCAACCCAGGGTTCCAGTGCAGGAAAAGAAAGCCTCAAAACCTCTGGCTGTAAAAACCTGCGGGGGATACGGCAGCGGGAGGAACTCCCAACCTCACAGGAGAGTCCGTTGGAGAGACCTACAGGCTCCTACAATGTACACAAACCTACCCACCCAGGAATCAGCACTAGAAGGGCCCAATTTGCTTGTGGGTAGCAGGGGAAGTGACTGAAAGCTGCCTGAGGCCAAGCAAGCGGCATTGTTCTGTCTCAGACCCCTCTCCACACAGAGCATCACCTGGGTTGCGCAGCCCTGGTGAATACCTAAGGCTCCGCCCATTTCAACATAATAGGTGCACTGAGACAAAGAAATATGGCCCAAATGAAAGAACAGATCAAAGCTCCAAAAAAAGAACTAAGTGATGAAGAGATAGCCAACCTATCAGATGCACAGTTCAAAATACTGGTAATCAGGACGTTCACAGTAATGGTTGAGTATGGTTGCAAAATGGAGGCAGAAGTGAAGGCTATGCAAAGTGAAATAAAGAAAAATATACAGGGAACCAATAGTGAAGGGAAGGAAACTGCAACTCAGATCAATGATTTGGAGCAGAAAGAAGAGATAAACATTCAACCAGAACATAATGAAAAAACAATAATTCAAAAAGATGATGAGAGGCTTAGGAACCTCCAGGACAACTTTAAACATTCCAACATCTGAATCATAGTGGGGCCAGAAGGAGAAGAGGAAGAGAAAGAAATTGAAAACTTTAGAAAAAATACTGAAGAAGAACTTTCCCAATCTGGTCAAGGAAGTAGACTTCCAGGAAGTCCAAGAAGCTCAGAGAGTCCCAAAGAAGTTGGATCTAAGGAAGCATACACCAAGGCAAATCGTAATTACATTACTCAAGATTGAAGATAAGGAGAGAATCTTAAAAGCAGCAAGAGAAAAAGAGACAGTTACCTACAAAGGAGTTCCCATAAGGACTATCAGCTGATTGCTCCAAAGAAACTTTGCAGGCAAGAAGGGGCTGGTAAGAAGTATTCAAAGTCCTGAAAGGCAAGGACCTACATTGAAGATTACTCTATCTAGCAAAGCCAGCATTTAAAAAAAGATTTTATTTATTTAATTTTAGAGAGAGGGGAAAGGAGGGAGAAAGAGGGAGAGAAACATCAATGTGTGGCTGCCCCTTGCACACCCTTCACCAGGGACCAGGCCCCACAACCCAGGCACGTGTCCTGACTGGGAATCAAATCAACAACCCTTTGGTTCACAGGCAGGCACTCAATCCACTGAGCCACACCAGTCAGGGCCAAAGCTAGCACTTAGAATGGAAGGGCAGATAGAGTGCTTCTCAGATATGGTAAAAATTAAAGGAGTTCATCATCACCAAGACCTTATTATATGAAATGTTAAAGGGACTTATCTAAGAAAAAGAAGATCAAAAACTACAAACAGTAAAATTACAAGCTTACAACTCTGAACTACTGAACCTAAGAAAAATCAAAAACAAAAACAAATGAAGCAAACAACCAGAACAGGATCAGAATCACAAAAATGGAGATCAGAGGGGTGGGGGATGGGGAAGATGGAGGAAAGGTACAGGGAATAAGAAGCATAAGTAGTAGGTATAAAATAGACAGGGGGAGGTTAAGAATAGTATAGGAAATGGAGAAGTCAAAGAACTTATATGTACTACCCATGGACATGAACTAAGGGGTGGGAGTTGGAGGTGGGGTGCAGGGTAGAGGGGAATAAAGGGGTGGAAAAAATGCAACAACTGTAATAGCATAATCAATAAAATATATAACAAAATTTTTAAAAATTACAAAGGGAAAAGAATAACATCTTTTGGTTGATACCACTTTACTTGTACCTGGTTGAAACCACTTTAATTAAGTGATAACAGTTAATATTACCAGAAATGGTACAAATTGAAATTGTCCCTGATACAGTGATAACAGCCTCATATCTGGTATTCCTACCAAAGATGCATAACCTGAAATAAAGCACTTAGAAACATTAGACAGACCCAGATTAAGGGTTAGCCTCCATAATAGCTGGCCTGTAATCTTTTTAGTTATTAAAGTCATGAAGGTCAAAGTAAGAATAAGGAACTGTTCCAGGTTGAAGGAGAATAAAGAGCTGTGGCAGCCCAGTGTAACATGATTCTGGACAGGATCTTTTTTCCTACAAAAATATTATTAGGCCCTGGCTGCTGTGGCTCATGTGGGTGGAACATTGTCCCACAGATGGAAAGGTCATGGATTTGATTCCTCGTCAGGTCACATATCCAGGTTGTAAATCAATCCCTAATCAGAGTGTATATGAAAAGGCAGCCAACTGATGTTCCTCTCTCTTTCTCCACCCCCTCCCCCTTCCTATCTAAAAGCAATAAAAAAATGCCCTTGGGTGAGGATAAAAAATATTATTAGGACAGTTGGTGAACTTGAAGTATGATGATTATATGGTAGTAATGTATCGATATTAATTTCCTGATTTTGATGGCTGTATGTAGTTATGTAGGGAATACCCCTGTCTGTAGGAAATACTATCGTCTTCAGGGGTGATGAGGCACTGACAACTTATTTTAAAAGGTTCAGGGCAAAAGAAACGTTACTTGCACTGTTTGCAGTGTTCTGTTTGAGACTGGGAAAGCCTGACAAGTGCTCAAAGTGAGATCAGGTATAGGAGTTATTCTAAGCATCCGGGGTGCTTGCGGAAAGGGGATGAATCTTAAAGGTGATTTGGAGAACAGAGAGTAAACCCAGGTTCTTCTTTTTCAACAGTACCACCTTTTTGACAGTGTACTGAGTCCATCCATAAAGGCCCTACTTTGGCTCTTCTCCGGCTTTGATAACTCCCCTTGTGGAGATAGGGCTGAATTTGCAAGGACAATGGGACACGCCAATCAGATTGGCTCCACTCCCCCACCCCCGTCTAGTTCAACGGAGAATCCCCTCTGCCCCAACATTCTTGAGCCTTGAGTCTGCTAAGCACTTCCTCTCCTCTCCCTCGCCCGTCCTTGCAGGGTTGATTGGGCCACAGGTGTACGTCTAGGTCGGAGGAATGATCATGGCTGAGAGCTGTTTACAGCTCTGTGAACGAAGCTTGGACTTAAGGGCTGGATGTCTACGGGTGTGCACGGAGGCTCTAGAGAGCAACTGCTGTCTGCCAGCTGCCACATTTAGTTGGGGCTCAAGGAGTGCTTGCCAGAAAATTCGAAACGTAAACTTGGCCTTCCAGGTCTCGGTAAGATATACTTGTCACCGTAGGAGATATAGATCATACCGTATCTAGACCGTGCTGAACAAGAAGATATCCCAGGCAGAAACTGCAAGACTTACAGGAGTTTCGGATCCCCGTCCTACACAATCCTTACAAGCACGGGCGGAGGGCTGGGCCAATCAGGTGTGCCGCCTCGAGAGGCAGGCCAAGGCTGGGGCGTGGAGATCACGCCCGTGCACGCGGGGGGCGGGGCGAAGGGTGGGAGGGGCGAAGGGTGGGCAGGGGTGGTCCTGGGTCAGAGAGCAGAGGGGGCGGTGTTTTGCGGGAGTCGAGAGGCTCCCCTCTGCTTGCACGGGGCGGTGCTCGGTGATGTCACGCTTCTTCCGGCCCGCCGCGCTTCCTCCGCGTGGAGACGAACACACTGGCGGCTGAGACTGTCTTAATTCCTGGGTTTGGCGACCAGAAAGGCGAAATGGAGGTTGAGGTGTTGCCGAGTGCGAAGTGGCTGTACTGTGGGGAGTCCGAGGAGAGCCAGAGAGCTGTACTGGGTAAAGACTGCAGAGCTGGAGCAGAGTTCCCCATAACTCCCTTCGTCTCGGTACCTTTAGAGTCAGTCTTCCCGCCCCCAGCCGGGTCCCTTTTCCAGCTGGGCCAGGAAGGACTCCTCGGCCCGCTCACCTCCCGCCCTCGCCCCCTCACAAAACGCAATTTAGTGTCCACCAGTAGTTGGGGCTTGGCCAGAGGCTCCTATGTCGTTCCACCGTCTTTCTTGTACCACCTCCTACCTGGATGAGGACATCCCAGTTACCCCCTCTCCAAAGGACTTACCCAGGATTTTCTCACACCCCCAAGTCACCAGGTCTTAGACCTGTCCCATTCCCTCTGTTTCTTTAGGTCTGAACCATGCCTCCTCAGCTGACTCCATTCCCCTAGTCATTCCCTCCTGTAGCAGCCCCTCCGCAGTACTCCCCTAACCCCCCCATCCCTGTTCCCAAGTGGACCTGAACCTCCTTCAGTCCCACTTCCGGTCGGGGGCCTGGGCTCCCTTGCTATTCTCATTCCCTCAGCCACTCCTTCCCGTTAACTGTCCAGTTCCTCCCCACCATACATCGTGATTCTTGCCGATCTCATCTCATTCCTGGGCTATGGTCTTACAGTTCAGTTCTCCAACGGGAAGCTGCAGAATCCAGGTAACATACGCTTTACCTTGTACAAGAGCAACGACTCCACAAACCCCAGGAAGAGGAGTCACCGGATCCTGGTAAGTGCTGCAGTGGCCAACTGCCTCCACTCTGCAGGCCTCAGTAGACCCCTTGGGTGTGGTGGATATGGGAAGGAGTGAGAGGAGAAAGGGGGGAGATAGCAAATGAGTCTTTGAAGAACAGTTCTGAGCCCCAGCAGGTTGGGATATGGGGACAGGCTCCATTCAGTTTCATACTTTTGGTGAAATGGACTTGCATTCATTAGTTCATTCAACAAGCATTTATTGACCACCTCCTGTGGCCCTGTGCTGTACACTGCTAGAGAAATGGCTAAATCAGACCTGGCCCCACTCTGTGGGAGCTTGTACTCTAGAGTGAGGTTTTTCAACCTTGGCACTATTATCATTTTGACCCAGATAATTCTTTGTTGTGGGGGCAGCCCTGTGCAGGATGTTTAGTAGCTTCCCTGGCCCCTACCCACTATTTATTTACCATTAGCACCTCCTAGTTGTGACAGTCAGAATTTCAGACATTCTCAGGTGTCCCTGGAAGGGGAATTTCCCTGGGTGACAATCACTGCTCTAGAGAGTTCTTTGACATTTTACCCAATCTTGAACTTACAGAAATATTTCCCACCTGGTACAAAGAACTCTGGAGAGGTGGGAACTGGATGTGGGGACACTCATACAAGTAGACAAAGCTCAGGGCCTGAGGGAGGGAGAGTCCAAGGCAGAGTCTAAGTCTCTGCTTGCCAGACTGTCTTCCTGGGGAGGGCACATGGTGCTGAGTTCTGAAGGATGGAGGAGGGTTTGACACCTGAGGCTTAGTATTCCAAATGAGGAGGACAGCAAGGACAAACAGGGAAACGGGAAAGTTTGGCTGTAATTGAGGAGTGACTCAGCCATTTCCACGGTCCTATTAGGAGCAGTCATAGGAGAGGTGGGCAAAGAGGTTTAAGAAGGGCTGGGACTTTGGATATGGGAGGTTGCCTGCAGGATCTTTTTATTGCATGTCTGTAAGTGTGGGGAGCCCAGGGCCTCTCTGCCAAGCGGGGTGGTGCAGCTTCCCCAAGAACTTTTTCAGACAAACTAGAATCCAACACTGTCTGGGGCTTCCCTTTCTAAAGTCCTCTTGTCTTTCTCCCATGAGTACCCCAGGTTCACTTAGAGCTCTCCCAGAGGCTCTCTAGTTCTAATCCTCTGTGGTTTGGATTCTAAAGCTTTTTGCAAATGTGGGAAAGGGAAACAAGATGCTAATACTTTTCAGCATTGGTTGTAATGGAGCTTTTCTGTCTCCACATTTTAGGCAGCTGAAACAGACAGACTTTCCTATGTGGGAAACAATTTTGGGACTGGAGCCCTCAAATGCAACACTCTATGCAGGTAGGGACAGGGGAAGGGACAGCTGGAAGGGGAGGGGAGTGGTAGTAGCCCTGGCACTGCTGTTCTCAGTCTTTTCTTTAGGCGCAGTAGGGGACATCTAGAGAGGTTTACCAGGTCCCTGTGTTCCCAGACCCAGGGGTCTTCACACCAGCATGTAGACATTCTTGAAAAGAAAGTTGACTTATATTTGTTGAATTTCCTAAAAACCTCATTTATTTGTAGTACTCTTTACATTTTTTAAAAATTAAGATACAGCTCTTACCTGGTGTGGCTCAGTGGATTGAGTGCTAGCCTGAAAATTGAATGGTCCCCCGTTTGATTCCTGGTCAGGTCACATGCCTGGGTTGCAGGCCGGTTCCCCAGTCGGGGGTGTGTGAGAGGCCACTGATCAGTGTTTCTCTCGTGTGTCGATGTTTCTCTTCCTCTCTTTCTCCCTCCTTTCCCCTCTCTCTAAAATTAAATAAAATCTTAAAAAAATAAAAAATAAAAAAAAATTAAGATGTAATTGACATGTAACATTATATTAGTTTCAGGTGTACAACGTAATAATTAGGTACATATACGATAAAATGGTCACCAAAATAAGTCTAGTTAACATCTGTTACCACACAGTTATTTTTTTTTCTTGTGATGAGAACTTCTAAGGTTTACTCTCTTAGCAACTTTCAAATATACAGTACAGTATTGTTAACTGTAGTCACCATACTGTATTGTACATTACTTCCGCAGGACATATTTATAATCTGGTTTCCAAAAGAGAGCTGTCTTCACTAATACAGAATGTATGATCAATATTCCAAAGCTTGCTGAAAGTTTGCGTTAGGACGAACTATAGGAAAAGGATTTGATGTCAAAGACTCTGGGGTTTTTATCCAGCTCTGCTGCTGATTGACTGGCTGACTTTGGGCAGTGTTACCCTTCACTAATCCCGAGCTTGTCCCTGCTGCCCCCCCACCCTCCTTACAATGAATATTGCTTCGCCTAAACAGTCCGTAACTGTCTGAGGCTGGCATAATTCAGACAGTGTCCCTGTGATGGTAGCCAGTAGTGAATCAGAAACAAGGCTTTTTCAGAACCCCACTGGACCACCCAGATAGAAGTCAGATTAATGAGTATATGCTTAAAACAATTAACACTGCATCATGCCTTTACAAGATCTAGTTCAGACTGGTCTTCTCCCATATTTACTAAGGCTCTCTGTCTTTGCCTCCATAAAATGTATGTGTGCAGTAAATTCCAGTGTTATTCTTCATTACATCCCAAAAAGGTTTTCCCACTGCAGCAGTGAGCCTGACCATAATTATCGGCTACCAGAACCACCTATAGCTTTATTTTTCAGAACGACATCATGTACCCTCCCCTCCCCCCATTCCCACTCCCCCCTAACCCCCCACCCTTGCCCAATGCAGAGAATTGCTGTTGTGGGAGATTATTGTTTCTCCTGAGCAAGTGGTGCATTCCTCAGGTGTAATGGGGCAGAAAGAAGATTGAGAACTTTTAAGCAGGGAAGTTGTATAAACAATACCATTTGAATAATCCATTGTCACTGGAATTATTTCTTCCTTATTCAGGCACTTCGTGGGAATTTTGAACAAGACCTCTGGCCAAATGGAAGTGTATGATGCTGAATTGTTCAACATGCAGCCACTGTTTTCAGGTAGGTCCCAGTCAAGGCTCACAGAAGTGCTGCATATTTTAGGTTTGCTGGCTGAGTTAGTTTGAGTTTTTGATTTGTAAGCACATTTTGTAGCTATTTTTAAAAGAGTGTCTTTCTGTCAGTATTTTTTTCATTTTTCTTTTTTAAAGGTTTATTTATTTATTTTCCAAGAGAGGGGAAGGGAGGGAGAAAGAGAGGAAGAGACACATCGATTGGTTGCCTCTCACATGCACCGTAAACGGGGACTGAACCCGCAACCCAGCATGTGCCCTGACCAGGAATTGAACTGGCAACCCTTTGCTTTGTGGGACGATGCCCAACCGACTGAGGCACACTGGTCAGGGCTATATTTTTTTTCATTTGAACAAGTTTTAAGAGTTTTTACTCAGCACACAGTAATTGATGACTCTCTATGCTCCACGCACAAATTAGGAGTTGTGGATGTAGCAAAAAAGAGACAGATCCTGTCCCCACAGTGTTTACAGACTTGAGATCCAAAACTAACCACAGTTAAAGTGTGTTGAGCAGTTACCAGAGCAGAATATTGAAGGCCATACCTGATAATCTTTCCGATTGAAGGCCTTTTTTAATTCTTAACTGTTCTAGTTGGGATAGAGATTTTAGAATCTTTGGTAGGTGCTGGACAGTAACTTTCATGTTGATGAAAAGCCTTTACACTGTCTTAACTTGGGACAAGATCCATTTTTCCCTAATCCAGTGGGGGAAGTTGCATCACTTCTCTGCTTTGGCATCGCAAAATGCTCAGGGCTATAGTGGGAGCTTCCAAAGTGATACATAAGAGGGTCAGACTTAAAGGGGTCCTGTTCCCTAAATCTTAAATACTGAGAACAATGGTGGGGAAGGATGTTAGATAAGGAAGTAGTCTTAGGATCATGGTGTATCTGCCTGATATCCTCTGAGGTATTAATTCCGACTTGATTTTCTCAAAGCAGCAGTCCCACTTTTTTGAGAACCTGATAAGGCCTTAGACCTACTTTCTTGAAATATATATAATGTATAAAAATTTATATGAGATTTAGCATATAATTTTAAAGGGCTCTTGAATCCCAAAGCCCATCTGTGAATTTCCTAGGGGACCAAGTCTCTAGGTTAAGATTCCTGGTTTTGCAAACAAATGTAACTACATTTAAATTATCTTCCAAATTTTCTTCCAACTTTCAAAGAAGCAAAGAAAATTATTCATTAATTTGTTGATTAAATGTTTGTTTTTATAAGAAGTTTGTAAATATTGGTTTATTTTTTAAATCTTTTTTTAAAAGATTTTATGTATTTATTTTTAGACAGAGGGGAAGGGAGGGAGAAAGCGAAGGAGGGAAACAGTGTGTGGTTTGCCTTTTGTGCCCTCCCCTACTGGGGACATGGCCTGCAACCCAGGCATGTGCTCTGACTGGGAATTGAACCAGTGACCCTTTAGTTCGCAGGCCGGCACTCAATCCACTGAGCCACACCAGTCAGGGCTAAATATTTGTTTATTATATCCAGCATATTGACCTGGGGCAAGTCATTTCATCTGGAGACCTCATTTTTTCCTTACTGATAAAATGAAGAGGTTGGACCAGATGACCTCTTCATTTGACTCCTTAATTCTCCAAATTCTTTAAGTGGATATTAAAGCTATGTACCTAATGTTCAGTACATATTCATGTTAACACATTGCGTACCGCTCATGGGTTTTCTCGTGTTTCGCACGCGCGCCATCTGTTAAAGACCGCTCACGAGTTTTCTCGTTTTTCATGCGCCATCTGTTATGGACTTTAGATGTCAACACAGTGTCTTGTCCACATTGAAGGAAGCGATCTCATTGGTGGAAACCGTGCAGGTCAATCTACAAAAAACTATATAATTGCACGAACCCATAAAGCATTGCAGTTACATTGTATTTTGGTCATTCGACACTGGCGAATGCCTTAGAGATTTCTATGCGGTACGCAATGTATTAAGCTCTTGGAAGTCCTAGAGTAAAGAAATCTGTTTTTCTTAGATTAACTCTTAAGTAAATACCAAATACTATTACTATCTGTAGGCCTTATGGTTTGTTTCCCACCCCCCCGCCCCTGTTTTTGTTTTGTGTTTTGATAGATAATTCATTTGAGAGTGACTTGACATTAGAGAATCAGAGCAAAACTTTTAGAGATAAGGTAAGTGTGCTGGAACCAAGATGTGGGACCTTAAGCAAGTTCCTTCTGGGCCTCAGGTAAGGGTCTTTCCATCATATAAAATGAAGCTGGTTGAACACATGGTTCCCTGGCTGCTCCTAGCTCATTCATTCTGGAGTTGTCTGGACAGTTCTCCACCTGCAGATGCCTCATCATTGTAAAGGGTGGTTCGCCTGTCTGGGGCAACTCTACACAGCTCTGTGCCAGTGCGTTGCACTGGTTCTCTGGGCTGATAGAGGTGTAGCATAACATTTGTTTTTAAGGTTTAATCCAAGTTTCAGAGAATATTGGTTGTAGCCTGGAAACTTTCATATTAAAACAAAGCAATCTTTAGGATTTTCAAAGTAGAATGTTCTGACAAAGCTTAACTCACCCCACGATGGCAAATTGATTGCTGCAGTGCTGCCCGGAGCAGTGTATTGACAAGGGGTGTGAAGCTATCTTCCAACTCAGGGAGAAAGAATGCGTGCTCTGTCAGCAATATCTGTTACCAGTGTAGGATTGGAAAATGTTAAACAGTGTGCCAGAGATTTACCAACCCTAATTCTAGACAAGTCTTTACATTTTACAGATGAAGGTCCTGTTGCTTTATAAATGGGCTGTCACTATTTACAAATCAAGTTCTTCAGATCTGTTCATATCATTTGATTCTCACAATAAGCCTATGAGGTAGATAGCTGTAATTCAGCCCAATTTGCAGGCAAGGTACTGATGGCTCAGAGAGGCTGACAGTTTCCCCGTAGTCACACAGATAGGAGTAGCAGGGCCCAGCCTGACCCCAGTAACCAGATTTGTCTCTTGCACAGATGGACTCTTGCATTGAAGCCTTTGGCACCACCAAACAGAAGCGGGCTCTGAATTCCAGGAGAATGAATAAAGTTGGCAGTGAATCTTTGAATCGTGCGGTAGCTAAAGCTGCAGAGAGTATTATTGATACAAAGGGTGTGACTGGTAAGCAGCTGGAACCTGGGGTAAGACTCTGCTCACAGAGACAGCTTTCTCTTCTCTTGAGATCTTTTACCCGCCCCATAGATGGAAATGGTGGGAGTTAGGGCTGGATTTTTTCCTGCCTTTCGCTGAGGGCCCTTGCGGGAACAGATTTGAAGTAGGAAGAAACATCTGACACGGCCTACTCTCAGTGAGCTCACAGGCAAGTAGAGGGGACAGGCAAGACAATGGATATGTGCTTGCTGTGTCCTTGGTGCCAAGGTTCCAGCCTGCAGGGCATGGAGGAGAGAGAAGGCTCCCAGTGTCTGATGCCTGGGGAGGTTTTGGTGAATTCTGTTTGGGGAACAAAGCGGATGGGATGACCATCTGAGCCTCTAGAGATGGTATGTCACTGTGAGGGCCCGTAGGTCTTCTGCTCCGAAATTTCGGAGAAGCTTGAGTACTGAATTTCATTATTTTAAAATGTATTTATTGTTCAGATGCATTATAAGAACATAAGGGAAAGTTTATATGGGCAGTTTTTCCATCTAAAACTAATTTTAGTAATTTTTTAAAAAATCCTTCCATGCCCTATAATGTCATAAATATTTTCCTACATTTCCATTCAGTACTTTTACAATTTTATTTTTACATAAAAATCTTGAAGAATTCTTTTGGCATATGGTACAAACCTGATTTTATGTTTTTCAAAACTTCATCTTTTCCTTTGTAAAAGATAATTTAAAAAGTCATGTTTATCATTTTATCACATTCTTAGTTATGTTTTGTCCCAATGTTCCAGCAGCCTTTTAATTATAATAGCCTCATCATCCAGTTTATTGTCTGATAGGGCAAATTTATCCTCTTCCCATGCCCTTATTTTTCAGAAATGTCTTGGTTACTGTAACATGCTTTTTTTCCAGGTGACCTTAAGAATAATTTTGTCAAGTTCCCTCAAAATACAATTGGGATTACTATGGGGAGAATCAACATCTTTACAGTGTTATATTTTCTCATGCAGGAATATAGAAAAATCTCCCTCTGTTCATTCAAAAACATACTTTACCATCTAAATAAATTTTTGAATTATTTTGTTCAGTTTACTCCCAGCTATTAAAGGACATTTGAAAAAGGAAAACTAATCCATCCATTTTCTCATTATTTTGCCAGACCAACTGTTAATAATTGTCTTGTTTTCCTTTTTCTATATTCATACTTAATTCTTACACGGTTATTCCTGTGTGGTAGTTACAGTTTTATAATTTGATTATATGTTCACTCACAGTATGTGGAGAAATTTTCTGGAAGTTAAGCCATTAAAAGCTATTTTGAATATCCGTCACTTTTAGTTTCTCCTGTATTGCATTGTAAATATTTATTAGCACACCACTCTCCCAACTATATTACAAGTTACTTGAGGGGGTCCCACGCTGGTTGCACCTCCTCTAAGGCCCAGTTAGGTTAGTGTCATGAGTGGACACCAAAGTGCTGGAGCCGTCGTCAGTCAGCCTGAGGGAGTTTGGGCCTCATTGATGGGAGCATTCAGATTAGAGGTTTCTGGGTTGGTTTATGAGGTTGAGTGCACAGGTTACAAAGTGTGGGGGAACCTGAAGCCAAACAGGGTGATACCCACACTGACTCTTCTTTATTGCAAAGCTCTGGTTAATGATGCCATCCAGGACAACTTGCAAGATGACTCCCTCTACCTTCCTCCCTGCCATGCTGATGCAGCGAAGCCTGAAGACGTGTATAAATTTGAAGACCGTATCCTTGCAGTAGACATGCTACTGTAGTCACACGTTGGGGTGTGTACACATGAATGGCACAGCCAGGCTCTCTGGGGAGTCATTGGTCCCGTGACACTCACGGAAGCTACACCGTGACCTTTGCAGTTGCCTAGTGCTGTTGCCAGGAAGTCAGCTAGGTTTCCTCAGTAGCTAAGGGACCTGCTCCAGCACCAGCTTCTTAGCCCATGGCATTCAAACGCATTCCTCAGCAAAGTGCCGTATGTCCACAGCTCAGCCCTGTGGGGGTCACTGTCCATGAATAGTCCAAATATGACCAATGCCCAAAGTCTAGGACAGACTGATTTTGTAAAAGGAAGAGTTGGAATGTAAAATTTTCCTACTTGTGGGTCTAATGAGATGGAAAGTGCCTGCAGTGGCTTGTGATAAAGAGAATGCAGGAAATCCCAGGTAGGGAAGGAGGTCTGGGCTGGGAGTGCTGTGTGATCTTCCCCTGTCTGAGCCTCTAACATATTAGAGTGTCCCCACCTCTAACATGAGGCCACTAGGAGATGATCTGGCTCAGCGATTTTCAATCTTTTTACCTCATGGCACACAAACTAATTACTAAAATTCTGCAGCCCACCAAATAGTACATTTTTTGCCTAGCTGATAAAAAAAATAGGTATAATTTTGATTGATAAATAATAATTATTCTTTTTGCTCAAAAGTGACTTTAAAAAAATCAGGTGACCATACTTGTATATAGGATTTCTGGTTCTAAAATCAATCAGATGCAACCTTATGCCATGTGACCTATAAGACACAACTCTATTATATGACCTGTATATTTACGGTTCAAGACAGTATTTATACTAGATAGCTATTGTTATGTTGGCTACTATTGTTTTATTTGACAGTCTAAGGGAAAAGAGGTCAGTGCCCCTGAATAAATAGTTAGGTATTACATGTTTTAAAAATCCTTGTGGCACAGTGGTTGAAAATCACTGATCTAGCTAGTTAGATGTTTCCATTTTGGTTGGATTGTGTTTTAACCAATAACTAGTTCTTTCTCCTGCGGAGTATGAAGCTCTTCAGAGCCCATCTGAAGCTTTCAGGAATGTCACGTCAGAAGAAATACTGCAGATGATTGAAGAGAACAGGTACCCTCACTTGGGTGGATAGAGTGTCTGAGGGAGTAATGTTGGGACACAGCAGTCATGAGACATGAAGCAGACCTCTGGGTGTCACCACTGAGGAGCACTGTCCAGCATTTGAACATGAACAAGCCAGTATGTTTACAAATGTTTGGGCTTCTAGACCTGTTGCCCCAGAGTTGTGGGTGGCATTCGAGGGAGAGAGTTGGCCTTTGAGTGCATGGAACCTGTGGTTGGGGAGATGGTGGCGAGGCCTTGTAGTTGGGCTGAGAACCAAAGACAGACTGTATCCCCCAGTGTTATGTTTGATGCCGATTGTCACCATGGAGCCCAAGTGCTGGCCTGAAATTGGTGCCAGGTGAATATGTGATTTATCTGTGATGATGTGCTGAGGAGCTTTACTTTTCTTTTTAAACATTGAACGTTATATATTTCAAATCATATTATTCCCTTCACTTTAAAATATTTTTTTTAATCTTCATCCAAGGATGTTTATTGATTTGAGAGAGAGACAGAAGGGGGTGGGGGGAGAGAAACATCAATGTGAGAGAGCAGCATTGATTGGTTGCTTCCTATACATGCCCTGACTGAGGATTGAACCCACAATCTAGGTATGTGCCCTGACCAGGGATTGAGCCTGCAACCTTTTGGTGTACGGGAGGATGCTCCAACCAACTGAACCACCTGGGCAGGGGTGCCCTGTCTTTTTTTATAATATATATATTGATTTTAGAGAGTGGAAGGGAGGAGGGGAGCAAAAGAGAAACATCATTCAGTTGTCTCTCATATGCACCCCAACTAGGGATCGAACCTGCAACCTAAGTATGTCCTCTGAATCGAACCCTCAACCTTTTGGTGTACGGGAGGATGCTCCAACCAACTGAGCCGCACTGGCCATGTCTCCCCGCCGACCTCCTCCTTTTTTTGGCCACTAAAACAGCTTTTCTTTAATGATGACAGTAGGATGCTTTTGAGTTTAAAAAAAAAAATTCTCATATTGAAAAAGTAAAAAATTGTCAACCATAGGTTGGTTTCCTGATTTTTCTTTGGAAATTTTACTGGTCAGTGACATCCAAGGCCTTGGAAAACACTTTTTCCCCCCCTCCAAAGACCCATTTCCCCCTAAAAAGCTCATTGCTGTTTCTTAGTTGTCTTAATGCGATTGTCACCCCCGGGGAGGTGCAAGGGTGAGCTCTGGGCTGGGAGCCTGGAGAACTGAGCTTTGGAGCCGTGTGGAATACACGGTGTGATCTTGTCTGATCTGAGGCTCAGTTTTTCTGTCTGTGAAATGAGGCTGCTACAGATGACCTTGAAGAGCTTATCTCCTTGAGTCCAGGATCCTGGTAGTGGTAGAACAGTACGTTAAAAATAATAGCTAACATTGATTGAGCTCTTCAGTGCCAAGCATTGTTCTAAGTACTTTGCTTGCAATGTCTTTTTTAATTAAAAAAAAAAATAAATCCCTAAGAGGATGGTATTATTCTTGGCCTCAGTTTATAGGTAAATAGGATATACAGAGCTGTTCGGAGTATTGCCCAAGCCACTATCTGGCAGAGAGGGAATTCAATCCCAGGCAGCCTGACTTGAGAGCCTGTGCTTCAAACCACTACATCTGGCTACAGCCAGTGGCCCGCGTGCTCAGTCTGGCCTTGTGCCTGTGGATGAAGTTTTACCGAATACAGCCATGGTCATTCACTTTTGTCGATGGTTGCCTTTGCACTACAATGGTGGATTTGAGTAGTTGCAACAGAGGCCATGTGGCCCACACAGCCTAAAATATTTACTGTGCTGGCCCCTGACCGCCCCTGCACTAAACCATGCTCCTTCTGTTATAAGCAGCATGGCCCTTCCACAGCCATCAAGTTTGTATCAGGTGTGAGGGCTGCCTGCTGTTCTGTGATAGGGTGAATGGCTTCTGACAGAGCTGGTCTTACCCGACCCATTCTTCCCTTTCCCACCCTTGTTGTAGCCATTGCTCCTTTGTCATAGAAGCATTGAAGTCTTTGCCGTCCAATGAGGAGAGCCGGGACCACCAGGCCCGATGCATATGGTTTCTGGACACACTCATCAAATTTCGAGCACAGAAAGTGATTAAGCGGAAAAGTAAGTTCATGATAGACAATTGATTCTAGTTATTTCCGGCCCATTATTTGCCTGTAATTCTTAGACCAGCTCTAATGAGAGAAGAAAATGGTATGTGCAGCCCAGTCTTTACTGTTAACCATGTAACAGTGAGGTTGCTATTGGTTCTGCTGACATGCCGAGAGGACTTGCCGGGCTCTTTCCTCGTTTGCAGATAGGGACAGGTGGGCTTATGCGATTGTTCAGAGTTCACATTCGCTCCTGTTCTGCATTAGTCAGTGTGCTGTTTCCAAACCACGTGAGAATTTTAAGGGACTGTTAGACAGTCACAGAGGGAGAAAAGTTGGCCTTGCTCATGACGGCTTGTGACTGGTTTGTGTTGTGTCATCTTGTTTCTGACCCGAAGAGGGGAGGGTCAGTTTCAGCTGGTCACTGCAGTGTTACCTATAGCCAGGGGGCGCTACCACGTCCAGCCATCCAGTCAGAGATCCAGCGGGAGACACCTGGGTTGTAGGCACAAGGTGTATGCAGTTTCATTACTGTGACTGGGCACCCAGGAGTCTGTATGCTTTTCCATACTTGCTTAATTCTTACTCTCATGTTCTAATCTCCCCTGCTTTCCCTCTCCTGGGCTTTCTCCATAATCTGTTTTGCTTTTCTAACATCTTAAGAAGTCTGTGTCTGTAGGCCTTGTTGGAGTCTATTTTTCTTCTTGTTACCTCATCACAAATGTTTCTCAGGCAATTTCATTTGAAATGAACCTACTTTCATTTAAAGGAAGCCATTTCGTTCCATGGGCCCCTGCTTTGCTTACCACATGGTTTGTTCATGACACTGGTCCAACTGTTGGCTGCTTCTCCCAGCTCATGGATGACATGTGGCCTGAGGGCTTTGACAGAAGCTGATCAAACTCAACTTTGTATTGTAGGTGCCCTGGGACCTGGAGTTCCACACATCATCAACACCAAACTGCTGAAGCACTTTACCTGCTTGACCTACAACAATGGCAGGTCAGGGGGTGTGATGTCTTTGGCTTCTGCCTATAGAGGAGAAGGCGGGCTGGAGAGGGTGGTGGGAGTGGGGAGTAGGAGCTTGGGTTGAATGCCGTGTCCACAGAGCTACTGTGCCGAAGGGAGCACTTCCATTGGGAGTGGTCCTGGGGCCAGGTAAGCGTAGGAAACACTACATAGCCGTGCTCTCTTCCCCTTGGAGAAGTTCTTCCCCTTGGGACATCCAGCAGCGAAGACTGACCTCCCTAGACAGACTTCTTCCAAGGAAACCTTCTTAACGTGTCTCCACAGAACTGGTGTTCTGTGAAAAGGCAGTGTTGCTGTAAAGGGCAGGCATGTATGGTGATCTTGGGGGGAACACCTGTGTTTTCTTCTTGCCATTTGCTTGGAATGTGTTTCCAGCTCTGTGTTTGGAAGAATCATCAGCAGCTGAGTGTGGGGTGACCGCTTTCCCAGCAGCCCTGCTGAGCAGCTGGGGACAGACTCAAGGATCCTTGCCCAGTGCAGACCCTCACTGTGCCTGGGGTAGTATGTGCGGCCTTCGCCGCCCCACTTGGAGGGAGCACTGGGATTGGCTCACTTCCTCTGTGTGACACTCACCTTGAAGGACAAGGAGTCACCTGAATGCCTTTTCTGCTCCCCAAGATGCAAAGACATTGGGTCCCTATGGGAACAGGTTTGGGTGTTTTTATTTTGCTTTTGGAGAAATCATTTAGAGTTTAATTTTGTGTCTTCTTTATTGCTGCTGATTTTGCAGTTTACGCAACGTAATTTCCGGCTCTATGAAGGCAAAGATCATCGCGTATGTGATCATACTCGCCTTGCACATAAACGACTTCCAGATCGACCTGACAGTGTTACAGAGGGACTTGAAGCTCAGTGAGAAAAGGTAAGCACAGCAGAATAAAAATCCCCCTTAGGGTGCCTTGCTGTATTGCTAGTACTACTGGAAAACGTGAGGGTCCATTAAGAGAACTAGGGGTGTTCAACAGGGAAAAGACTTGGGACCAGAGAACAACCGTCAATGAGTGATTGATTGGATTAGCAGCTGGACATTACAGACTGCTGGTTCTCTATGCCAGGCACAGATTTAATACTGTCATAGTATTGAGTTGGCCAAAAAGTCCATATGGTTTGGTTTATTTTTAAAAATAAAAGACACATTTTTAATTTTCACCAGTGACTATTAATTTGGATATTTTGAGTATGTCAGCTCTCTCCTGAATGGTATAACGTTAATTTTCTAAATTCACCTCTCAATTTGATCACTGCCCACTTCAGCTGGTCAGCCTGACTGTGGAGCATCGTCCATTGAGAAATCTCCAGCATAAAACTTTGCAAACCATTTTTGACATGTTTGATCAGTTACAGCACCTTTTTCATACACTGCACATATCTTATGTATTTCAGTTGCATTTTTACCTTTCTTGAAATAATAAAGCATAAAATGCTGAAAATGTTGCATATTTTCTTCCGTCTTCACTATTAAAATGGCTACACAAAAATTCACCTATTTTGCTGGTTTTCTTTTTAATGCATGCTGATGTGACAGCTGTCACAATGCAATCTAACAAAATTGTTGCGAATGAAGTTAAAGACAACTAAGTGCTACTAGAGCCATCTTACGGAAAAAAACCAAACGAATTTTTTGGCCAGCACAGTATCTCAGTGATTTCCCTGAAAAACAGCTACAGCATCCATAGTTTAGAGAAGTCACTGAGTTTCCCAAGGTCACACAACCAAGAAGAGGAAGAGTTGGGCTTCATACCTGAGCCTTCCCTTAGCAATCTGTTCCTTGTAACCAGGCAGACTCCAGTCTCCACGCATCTTCCTCTGGGGAAAGTGATTCTCTGTGGTCCTCAGGGGTGGAACCCAGGTTTAGAAGTCATAAGAACCCAGTTTCAGCTTAGCAAGAAGACCTTTCTCAAATTTCGAACGAAGGAACTGTCAGATGGTGGGGCTGCTGTTTGGCAGAATGTCACATCGGGGCTTCTCTGACCGGACTGGGAGAGTTGGCGGAGATGGCCTTTTGGGCCCTTTCTAGTCTCGATAGAAGGGATCTAGGCTGAGTAGGGGGCAGAACTCCCCAGCACCCTGAACAGTGGTTCCTTTGGCCTTTGTTGGTGCTTTAGGGGCACCTGACACCCAATGACCCTAATGCTAAAGAGCCTGTGAATCAGCTGTGTCTGGACTCACCTAGCAGTACATACAGGGATTATTCCAAGGGCTGACCCCACATGGCCTTCTCACAGGCGGGGATGTTTTAAGTCAGAGAGAAGGTACTTGGCGCCTGTTCTAGCAAACTTCTAGCAAGCGTTCAATCGTGGTTATAGGAAGTAAACAAAGTTTATTAATAGGATCTAGATAGATAACCTGGTTTATAATCACCTATCAGGATATTTTCTAATGGCATTGCATTAAAATGAAATTGTCTGATGGCTCTGTGGGGGATCTTGTCTGCCTCTCTCTTGGTGGCCACTTTGGGGACCCTGTCTTCATGGCCTGGAGCACAAGTATGCCACTTCCTCCTGCCAACCTGCCCTAAGCAGTGACATTGAGGAGACTCTCCATTGGTTTTGTGTGTTTGTTCCTCAGGATGATCGAAATAGCAAAAGCCATGAGGCTGAAGATTTCTAAAAGAAAGGTGTCTCTGGCAGCCGGCGGGGAGGAAGAGCACCGACTGGGCGCCCTGTGCATCCCACTGCCTCCAGCCCAGCTGGACCGCCAGTCCAAGCGGAGGAAAATGACGTAGAGGTGTGTTCTCCAGACAGAGCAGTTTGGCCACATCATAGCCACTACTTCGATTCACTTCCACTTTTCATTTTTAAAGAGGAAAGAGCAGCCCTGCCTTAGCCTGGGTATGAAGCCACAAGCCAGCATCTCAGTCATGCTTGCCTGAAGCAAAAAAAACATCAAGTGACTACCATATTGGACTTCTCCCTCTTTCAGTGTTGTTGTGATTGTAAATGGCAGGCAGTTCTTGTGTTGGTTCACATGTGATGTGGGAGAGGGGGCCCTGGGAAGCTGGAGCCAAAGGATCTCACAGGCTGGACCCGGGGTCAGATCCAATGGATAAAGGTTAATAAAGAGAAATGTGAAGTGCCATCCTTAGGTCTTGGAGCACCAGTGGAGGACAAGGTGAGGAGGAGACAGCCCAGCAGGGCTGGAGGGGAGGCTTCAGGTCACCAGGATGATGGAGTTGCCCAGATAGATGGGTTGAGTTGGAAGCTGCTGTAACGAGGGAGCCCTTGCCTTAACAGGGAGGAAGCGATTATCCCAGTTGCCCTGTCTGGCTCAGGCCGCGTGGCGGGTAGCAGCCAGCTCTGAAGCCACAGTTCTGAGGGGGTGAATCAGAGTTCATCACAGAAAACAAATTGTACTAGGTATCTTAAGAAAGGACGTGAGTTATGTGGATAAAGGGTACAGTTTGTTAAAGGGCTATAGTTTAGGGAACCGGGGGGTTACCACCTGAACTGCTCAGTCCAAAAGCATACTGCTGAGGTTGCCATGCAGGCATTGAGAAGCCACTTCTGCCCCACAGCTGCTTGAATTCATGAAGCTGGTAACTTGACATTTGAGTTCAGCCTCCCATGCTTTTAATACCCACATTTCCAACCTCTGCTTGTCAGCACAACCAAAGGATCAAGAAGCTGGCTTCCATCTTTATTCTGGGAGTACATAGGTAGGAACCGAATTTGCATCTAGAATCCTAGCAGCAAGGGAGTCTAGGAAATAGGTTTCGGCTCTCCAGCATCTACATAGAGGAAGGCATATCTGCAGGAGATGGGAATGGGTACTGAGTGCCAACGAACCTTATCTGCCACAGGGGAGATGGAGAAGTCAGAGGGGTGTCAGGAGGAATTCCAGAATGTAACATGGAGAGACTTAGGTACATGGCTAACATATTCAGGGCTGTTCTGGGAGCAGCTAAGGTTTGTGGTGCTCAGTGCTGCGGAGCGAGGAGCAGTGAAGGGAGATAGAATTCGCCTCAAAATGAAGGAGGATATGGAAATGAGCCTTAGATGCCTCATTTGGGACAGGTGGTCCTTGTATTTTTTGAGCTCTGGGGTGCAGTTACCAGGGCCACTTCTGGAGCGAGGCTATGCCTCCATTGTTTATTTTCCAAGCTCTTCCCTGGTTTGTCTCACTTGTCTCTGATCCTGAATAATGGGTGTGTGTAGCTTCCTTTGTCGTCTTCCAGCAGAAGTGTGAGCAGGAAATCTAAATGCCTCTTTTATCTTAGCTGTTGTGAAAATCAAGTATGTGACTCTGCATCAGAAAAAAAAATCCTGATCAGTCTCTGGGAAAAGAACTAATGTGTTTATAGGGTAGAATGTGATTTTGTGAATGCTTTTTAGATTCTGATGGGTTTGACACCTTGAATTTCCAGGAATGACTGGGTCACAGCATGTGAGCAGGCCTCTGAACAACTGCTGTCCGAAAGGCAGAGCCCCAAGTCTTCAGTCACACACAGCAGTGGCACTGATAGGGAAGAATCTAGGATGGCAGGTACTTGTCCTGGACGACAACAGGTATACCTCACTAAATGTAGGTGGTGCATTCCCAGGGGCTGACTGAAGAGCACCTTTCTCTACATCAAGGGATTGGTGAGTCAAAAGGCTCAAGAGGGCCCTTGTTTGACTTGAACAAGTCTCATGAAAGCAGCTTGCACAGTGCCGGGCATGTAAGCAGGCAGTGTATGTTGAATGAGTACCATGAACCGCAACTTCTCTCCTTGGCAGGGCTATTAGGAGGTAAACACTTGCAGAATGATGGAATTGTATTTGTGGTTTTTATAGCTCTAAAAAACCATTTGTTTACTAATACATTCACAATGAATACCTTAATCTCACCTAGTTTTGGTCCTCCTCCCCCCTAATGTCTACTGATGTCCTCTTTGAAGAAAGGGAGACTGGGCTAGAAACTGGTCCCCTTAGTAAGATTTGTGGTTTGTGGAATAATCTTAACTTAGAGGCATTGCTTAACTGACGTCTGTTCCCTGAGGGAGACCGCTGCCTGTGGCCCTCACCTATTGTCCACTGTTAACACTGATGAGGTCAAGGACCCCAACCTGGAAATTGATAATTAGATAAAATTCTTTAGTGTCTTCCTTTAAAAACTTGGATATGTCATACTTAGAGTTGCAAGAATGGTACAGAGAACTTCTGTCTTTTACCCAGAGTCTCCAGCTGTGAGTGTTGTCCCACTTATTACTTGCTTTATACATTCATGTATTTCTTTTTGAACCATTTGAGACTATTTGTCAAAGCATCCTGTTCTTTTACTTACAAGTACTTCAGTGTGTATGTCTTAAGAATAAGGGCTTTTTCTTCCATAACCACGGTTCATTTATTAAAAGCAGGAAATGATACTATGCTGTCATCTAGCCCATAGTTCCTATTTGAATTTTGCCTCTTTGGTCTTGTTTAATCTGCAAGTTCCTCAGCTTTTGACTTTCTTAACCTTGATGTTTTGAAGAGTAAAGCTACTTATTTTGAAGTATGTCCCTCAGTTTTGGTTTGGTGTTGCGTTATGATTAGATGCATGATCTGTGTTTTCGGCAGAAATATCAGACATGCTGTGTCCCAGGTGCATCACAGCACAGGCACGTGATGGTTTGTCCTACTGTTGCTGATGTTAACTTTTATTACTTGGCTAAGGTTGTGGTCTTTCCACTGTGAAGCTGCTATTTTCCTTTTTGTAATGAAGTTAATTTGTGGAGCAGTTACTTTGAGACTGTAAATATCCTGTTCCTCATCAAACTTCCACCCTTGAGTTTTAGTCTTGATTGATGATTCCTGTTGAATCAGTTACCAAGATGGTTGCAAAATGGTGACATTTAAATTTTTTTAAAATACACTTATTATTGGCATTCTCTTAAGAGGGGATGCCTTTTATCTCCTGCTAAAATTTTTTGCTCCTTTAGTTACCAGTATGGGCTCATAGATTCTTACTCCATGAACATTGTTACTGTCGTTTATTTTGATGCTCAGATTGAATGACATTTGGACGATCTGAGTTCATTCAAGATAGCGCCTGTATCACCATCCTTTTAAGGGTGGGGCCTTATTTTCTGGCGCAAGCTGTTCCAGCCGTCTTGCACTTTCCCTGCTCTGGCCCTGGAATCACCTCTTTAGCCAAGGAACCCAGACAGGTGAAATGGATGATGGGCCAAAACCAAGGAGTGAAGGATCTTCAGCTGCACTCAGAAGTGGGTTCTGAGCAGAGGTGGCTGTTGTGAGTAGCTCAGACTGCACCAGGAGGTATTGGGAATATTTTAAAAGTTTGTTTTAGTGCATATTAGGAAACACTAGGTCTTCATTTATAATAGTGATATAAATACTTCTTTTTAGTTCAGCAAAGTTAAGTGACCTGGTTAGGATCCTGGAATGGAAATACGACATTAGGTAACAACTAAGGAAGTCTGAGTAAACCATGAACTTTGAATAATAATATGTCAGTACTGGTTCATTAATTTTGACAAATGTACCACACTAATGTGTTAGGGAAACTTTGGGGAGGGTAATATGGGAACTCTACTAACTGCTTTTTCTGTAAATTTAAAACTTCTGAAAAAGTCTATTTTTAGAAAGGATTTAGAGATATTCAGTACTAACTGTCTCCTCTGGTGACATGTGGATATGGGAGAAACTAAGATGCTGAGTAATTGAAGTTGGGGAAAAAAGGATCTGAGGACCCTCTGCAGACTGTTGGTCATCCACACCAGGGAATGTCACTGTTCTTCACAAAGTCCACAGGCCAGGTGGGACCGCAGTTCGGTCTCTGACCAACATGCCAGGAGACCGATCTCCGTTGGGACCTGGAATTGGGGCGGGAACAAGCTGTACAGGCAAGATGGTCCTGGGACCCTGCCTCCGAGGAAGCGGTGGTGCCTGCGGCAGGCAAGCGGTGCCGGGCCTGCATCCGGCTGCCCTGGGGCTCCAGCACACATCCAACCAAGGGAAGTTCCCGCAAAGGGCCTCTTTTAAAATATACAACTTTATTTTAGTTGCTGAGATTTTCATAAGCAGTTGGTTCACAAAAATGTCATTTCTTACAAATAATAAAGGCAGCATTTTGTACAGCGACTCACTTTGGGGCCACCAGAGAAGTGCAAAGGACAGTGTGGGGACGGGAGAGGCCAGCGTTCTTGTGCCCAAAGTCCTCAAGAAGCCAGAGCTCCTGGCTCCCTCCAGCCCCCTCCCACCCGACCTGGGAGAGCAGCACCGGGGGCCTGGCAGACCCAGCCTGGGAAGCCATGGGTGAGGTGTGTGAGGGTGACCCCAACAGGCTGGTGAAGGCCCTGCATGAAAGGTCGAGTGGGAGGGGGACTGTTCAGGCAGACGGGTCCTGCAGCCAGCCCCCCTCCTTAAGCAGTCTGGCGGGGTCTGAGCCCACCTGGAACCTTGACACAGTACAGTTCAGTAAAGCCCTTTGGGAACTTGGGGCACAGAGAGTGAGATGGGGCCCTATGCAGGTGAGCGGGATAGGGAAGGACCTGGATGACTCCAAGGCAGACAGTGCTCAGTACCTGAGGGGGCAGAGACAGGGAAGGGGCGGCTCAGAGGGAGAGCTCTGGAGGTGGCAGTGTCGGAGCTGCACTTGAATGGGCAGAACCTGGACATGTGCAGGTGGTAAGGTGGGCATGCCAGACGGGAGAGCGGGAGCCAAGGCACGGAGTGGACACCACAAGGGTTGGTAAAGGCAGGTGGCTATCCACGAGAGCACGGACACAGGTGAGGGTCCCAGGCACCTGCATCTCCACCAGTGCTGCCCAGGAGGGGCAGCTGGTGGGGGTGTGCCTGTGGGACGCGAACCCTCCTTGTGCGACAGGCACTGAGCTGACGCCCTCCTGAGTTTGGGAACTCCTTGAAGGTAGGGGGGAGTTGCGAGCATCCCTGCACTGCCCAGCCAGGCTCCTGAGCCATGCAAGGAAGCCTTCGCCACATGCCCCTCCTGTTTTTGACATGTCCCTTTCATCCCTAGGTCAGCCTGTTAAGAGGGGCTCCCTGTCCCAAGCCCCTTCCTCCCACACAGCTCCATGTCTAAGTTGAGTACAACTATGTCCTTAAGGAAATCAAATTCAACTCCTCCAGCCTCTGCAGGCAGCTCAGAGGGGGTGGTGTCGTCCCCAGAGGTACTGGGAAGAGGGGATCTAGGAAAGGGGGAGATTCTGGGACAGCTGTCTCCACCTCACCAGAATTACTTCCCTCTCAGGAGTAAATCCCATCCCTGAGAAGAGCCTGGATTTGGTGTGTGTAAAACGCAGTTCCCTATATCTGAAACAGAAAACCCTGACCGAAGCTTCAGTATTGATTTTCCTCTTCATATTCTCTATAAGAGCTTGAGTGACTGGAAACCCACCAATCCCTGTTCCTTTTTCTCCCTGAATAACACTTCCAAGTGCCTTCCTACTGAGGGTTGTGCAGCGGAAGGGTTTTGGAGGTACCTTGTTCTTAGTTCCTCCAAGGCCTTAGGAGCCTGTTTCTCAGGGGCGTGGTGAGAAGGGTGAGGAGCCTTCTCAGGCACTGCTGCTTCCATCCCGAAGGCCTGCCTCCTCAGCTCGGCCGAGCACTCTCAGGGCCTGAGCCTGAGAGTGGGCGTGTGGCTGCTGCTCCCAGAGTCTCGGGACAGTGCGCTCCAGTTGCCCTGCCCAGGGGCTTTCCATCCCTACAGGATGGTGCAGAAGATGCTGCGGTTGCTGTGGTACCCACCTTCCACACGGGCTGTGATCCTCGTCGCCATGGCTGTCACCTTCTGCCCACTATGGGCTGCCGAGGGGCCTCGGAGGGAGTTTTCCAGGTGAGGGCGTGCTGGTGGGTTCACCAGCCGCCATGTATCAGACCTGGAGACGCAAAATGATAATCAATGAACTCTTAGAGTGTACACCACTTATTGAATGCCCTGTGTAATTTCACCTTTGGTTCAAGCTCATTGGATCCAGGTGTTTAAATCTGGGTACTGCCCTGACTGGTGTGGCTCACTGGGTTGGGCATTGTCCCACAAAGCAAAGCGTTGCCAGTTCAATTCCTGGTCGGGGCCCATGCCTTGGCTGCGGGCCAAGTACCCTGTTGGGGACGTGCAAGGGGCAGCCAATGAATATTTCTTTCACACATTGGTGTTTCTCTCCCTCTTTTTCTCCCTCCCTTCTCGGCCATCTAAAAATAAGTAAAAATCTTAAAAAATAAGAAATCTAGGTGTAGGTTTTATCTCCCAGGTTAGTGATGGCCCAAGCAGATGGGAATACGTGATGCTAAGGGGCACAAGTCCTGCATTCTAGCTCTAGCCATGCCTTCAATTCTGTATGTTATTTTGACAAGTTCTCTACAGAAGCCTCAGTCTCCCCCTCCTTATAAGGGTCTGGATAAGATCAGTGGATTTCTTTTTTTCCTCTTTCATTTTCCCTTCTCCCCACCCCGGCTGTATGACCATGAAAATGTATAAAAACTTCATTCACAATCACCCCAAACTAGAAACTACAGCCGATGAATGGATAAATGGTGTGTGGTACACCCATACGAAGGACCGCCACTCAGCAACGAAAAGAAGCAACACCAGATGCAATACCGCGGGTGAAATCTCAGGGGCACAAGGCTGAGTGAAAGAAGCCTGACTCAAAAGACTACATTCTGCATGATTTTTTTTTTAAATGTGACATTCTGGAAAATGCATATCTATAGGGGACAGAAGTTGGTGGGGTTCTAGTCCCTGGAGATCTAGTGGAAATTAGGAAGGGCTGGGGAAAATCAAGTAACTGAAACTTTGCTCAGGGCTTTCTGTCGTCTGAATCACAAGGAACCACCTCTTATATAAAATAACCCCTAAATTGCTAAATCAGCAACAGTATCTCTCACATATATTTATGCTGATAATATTACAACGAGCAGGGCTGTGAAGGTGTGGATAGAGTCAGGGGCTGCCTACCACGGCGTGAGTAAAAAGCCTGGGGAGGTATGTTCGAAGGACTGCGTGCCTTTGAGTTTGGCAGCAGAGAGCGCTCCCGAAAGGGCGTGAGGAAGAGGGCTGGAAAGGAAAACCAGGACCCAACGTGCACAGCAGACAGTGCCGGGCTGACAGGTCTGGGCTGGGGTCTCCACAGGGGAAAGAAGCCGATCCTAGGGAGTCCGCAGCATGCTCTGCTA